TGAGTAAAATTTAGTCGACTTCATGTTCATGTTATGTGAATGAGAATTATGGTAAAGGGCTTGGCTGTCCATTCTGCCTCCCCTCCACCCCACTTCAAGGTTCTGAAGATTTAAAGAGCAACAAACAATTTTATGTGCAATTCATCCAAGCATATCTTTATTTGCTATAAAAGAGAAAATAGCTTGAGGAACAAAAAAATGGGGGGAGCGGGGGATAACACATAAAATCCAGTATAGAGGAGGATTAAAAAAAATGTGGTAAATAAATAAATAACCAAAAATAATATGGAGGAAACTGTAAAATAATAATGATGATGATGATGGTGTTTATCAAACCATTTTTATACAATGGCCATTTAAAAGCAATAAATACTTCCGAATAATTCATGGATTAGTGCTAGATGAAATACATTTTTCCTAGTAAAGGTCTTCTTCCTGATGTTTCAAATGATGTGTTTTCCCCTCTTCCCGGCTATTGATTACTAAATTGTGTAAATCTTAATCCAGAGACGTGGGGGTTGGGCCCAGAGTATGCTCATCAATTTCTTTCTCTCAGGGAATAATGGCTATGTTTAGAAAGGGGGAAAGAAATTTAAAAGCCATTTCCCTATACAGGCGTACCTTGGTTCGCGAACGCCTTGCGACTCGAACGTTTTGGCTCCCGGACGCTGCATACCCGGAAGTGAGTGTTCCGATTTGTGAACATTCTTTGGAACCCAATAGTCTTCTTCCCAATCAGAATTCGCGCCTTGATTTTCAAACGTTTTCGGAAGTCGAACGGACTTCCGGAATGGATTCCGTTTGAGAACCAAGGTACGACTGTACATTCCTGTGAGTGAATTTTGGCTCTTGATGTACTCTACTGGAAAGCCACATTGACTCCATGGCCACCCACTTCCTAGTTAATGATGTTTCCATGTCACCACCAGATGATAGCCTCATGCTTCCTCTTTTAATGTAAGCAGGACTTCGCATGCAATTGCCCTTGAAAATAGCCCCCAAACCTCAACTCATTTCAATGTGCTGGGCTGGATCTGTAAGAACATAAGGAGAACCTGATGGATCAGAGCAAAGGACCATTTAAGCCACCATCCTATTCTCACAGTGCTCAGCCTGATGTCTATGGGACACACTGTGCTGGACCCGAGGGTAACCCGAGCAACACGGTCCAGGTCCGGTCCCGAATCCAAGGGTTCCGCGAGGAGTCAGTCCGACAGGCAGGACACGAGGCAGGTAACCAGGCTAGGTCAGGCACAGGGTCTCAGGCAGGATCTAACATACAGCAATGTTTCTCCCACAACCTGGGGCGGGGTCTGACAGCCTTTTATCTTTGTCGGGGTAATGGCCGGTCCTGATCCCCCGGCGACTCACCTCTCTGTTTTGCCCGAAGGCGAGCACTCCTCCTGCAAGTACTCAGGTCTCTCCTTCTCTCAGACCTCAGGAGACGTCGGTGGGTTACTAGACCCAGGGGCCGCCTCAGCCTCCCTTGACCCAACCGGTAGTGGAGCAGCTGTAAGTGATGGCCCAGCTGAAGGCAACAAGGTAATCCCTGCATCTGGAGCCAGGGCAGGCTCAGGCCCCTGACTCGGCCCAGCTGGTGTTTGTTGCAGGGGAACCTGTGCAGACCGGGGCTCTTCAGGATCAGGCCCCAGACTTTGTTCAGATGCCGCCTGAGGCAAAGGATCCGGTGCAGACTGAGACTCCTCTGGTTCCAAGTCCGAGCCCATGTCCCAGGCCATCACAGACACAGGGAGACCATGGCTTGAATCCTCACTCAGCCATGAAGCTCAATGGGTGACCTTGGGCTAGTCCCTCACTCTCAGCCTAACCTACCTCACAGGGTTGTTGTGAGCAGAGCCTGGTATGAAGCAGGGACATTAGGAGGTGTGGCTGGGAAAGGTGTGTGGCCTTTGTAGAGCCCAAAGGGCCAGAGCCAGAAGTTTGGAGGGGCACTTTCAGCCCCTGAGCCCCTGGTATAACTATTGTTCTATCTCCCTGACGTATTTGTAGGAAGACAAATGTGAAGCAGCTTTTAAAATAGCTCTACCAGTAGCTTTCCTTTTCATCTTAGTCATGCTTTCACAGACACACACACACACACCAAACAGAATGCTTTTTTGGGTGGTGGTAAAATTCAATTTTAACACAGAAAGCTGGTTGAGGGTTTGCACTGGTAATTGTACATTGCTTCATGGTTATGATGACCTCTGTCCCTTTTCTATTTTCTATTTTCTATTTTTTATTTATTTTTTACCAACAACCAAAACACTAACAGTGAAACCCCCCAGGTGGATGGCACATTGGGTATACATAATCAATAATAACATGTTCAAATCAACCACATGTACAATTTTATAAATGTTAACACTCCTCCATCCACAAGGTTTATTTAACTTTTAACATTTTAATTGCCCCAAATTGTTCAAACCTACCCAAATGATTCAATATCTTCTCAGACCAATCCTCCTCTTTCTCACTGACCTTAAACCCTTTTATTCTGTGTGTCTTCACAGTTAGATATTCTAAAATTATAATATTATTCAGTTTTTTCCTCCATTGGTTCACCCCTATCTCTTCTGCATTTTCCCACCCTTTTCTGTTTTCTGATTCTTTTTTATTTTGGAACAGAGGAAGCCACTGTTTAACAAGTCAGGACACTGGTCCATCTAGCTCAGTATTGTCTACTTCGGGATTTCAGACAGGAGAGTCCTGATCTGCGAGCAAACTTGGGAATGTTGGAGCAGGTATGTCTGTTAGTTTCTGTTTGCCACTGAGCAGTGCTTTGGAGTCACAAGACTCTGTTTACATTCCACACATTCCAGAGACAGTCCAGGCTGTTGGAAGTCTCACGGGAGATGGGAGACGGATGTGACGTACTGGTTTTCTGTTCCTTTGTTGTCCAGTTGCTCTCTGCTTTCATAGAGAGAGGATGTTTCTTTTCTGTCTGCGTAGCGAGAAATAAACCTCTTTAGCCATGTAGCCATAAATCTCATCACTTCCATGTGCTGCTTTGATTCTCTGCTGGATGGGAATGTGCCTGAGGACTCATCAAAGGCTCAGGTTGTTAATCATGTTGGGAGGCGATTCTGGAAGATGAGCTTTATTAGCTTGGCCGAGATGTCGGGAGATCCCGACATTGTCTGCTGCAAAATGCAGGCCAAACAAAATCTTCACCCTTCCCTATCCCATGTTGAATGGCAACCTCTAAGGATATATTTTCAAGAATAAACCAAAGGAGAGACGTGGAACCCCATGTCTCCTTTAGCTTGGCTTTCAACCTCGACATTGCAATAGGAAAGTTTATTACCCATTCATTCATTAAGTTGCGTAGCTTGTTCGGTCGGTCTCTCATTTCCCCCATTTTAAGTTCAGCCCTCTAAGTTTCCACATCACAATGGGCTCTTTTCAAAAAGAATTTCTTCTGAAAATTCACCAGTATTTTCATGCAAATTTCTCCTAATATACACATTTGCATGCAATCTTGCCAATTATACACATACATTGCAATTTTATGTTATTTTCACTAGTATGTGCATATTTAGGGACACTATATCACAGCATATGTATTTTTGTACACATTCGTTGACTGCAATTTAGCACTGCAAAATTCGCAATTTAACACTGCAAAATTAGGATAAGAGCAAATTTCAAGTGAAGGCTGCGAAGGATTAAGTGTGAATGACCCAGGTTCCCCATCAAATGGGCTGGGTTGCTTCCCCTCCTTACGTTTAATGCAATTCTGTTGAAATATCCCAAATCACATACAGACTGCAGCCATCATTTGATTCACTGTAGATCTTTCCTTCTTATAAGATTGGCCACTTTCCCAGCAATGGGAGCTGAAAGATGGCAAGCCTCTGACATACACTGGCAACCAGCCATTACATAGCAGCCTGCCTAGTCCTTAGGCTTGCTCCAGCTCAATTAATTTTAACCATCCATTTGCCTTCCGTTCAGCTCTGGCTGAGCTTCTTGTTTGCTGAAAAACACCACCACCCTCGCTGGTTTGCATGTTCATCAACCACCGAAGGTGTTGCTTGTCTATCGTTTCCTTATTTGATCACCTTTAACTTTGAGACACACTCTCCCTGCTCCGTTGACACAATTTCACACTTCGTAAAGCACCTGACAGCGTAGCCGTTTTAAACACTCTTACAATAAATCCAGCCTGGTATTAACGTGAGCGAGGGAGATCTGAGCTCTACGAGCAGTGAACATGACACCAACATTTTTGGAAGGAAGGTTCCCGTTCTTATTGAGCTCCACGAAATGCACTTGATTTGTTCCGAGGCTTGACATTTATATGAAAGCTTCCAGATATCAGACTCTAGCTCCTATCAGAACCAGACTCTGTGGGACTGGTAGGGTGGAAGACAAAGAGACCAGCGAGAGAGGTGCAAACAGGCTCTGCACTTGCCTCCTGGTGACCCAGCAACCAATGGGAGTTGGTGAGTTGATCAGCCAATCTGGAGAGAAAGAGTAGAATTGAAGTTAGATGCTGACAGATAGGGAATGTCCAGAAGAGTGCAGGCAGGGATTGTCTGTGGGTTAGGCAGGGACCTGGGATTAGAAGAACTGGATGGGTAGAAGGGGACCTCTGGCTGTTTGAGCATACTCAGACAGGATTAATCTGTCAGTGGGGTCAGAGAGTGAATTGTCTCAGTTAGAGATGGGTCAGAAGAGATTTTACCTACCTGTGGTCAGAAGAGGTTTTACCTACCTGTGTAGAAGGTTGGGATTCTAGATGGGGCTGGAAGTGCTTTACAGGTAGTGTATTATAATAGGCATCCTCGAAAGAGTTTCTCTGTCCATTGACAGGTTTGAAGCTTGATCATAAGCTTTGTTTGTTTGAAGCAAAGTGTTGTGCCTCCCAAAGTAACCACTAAGCCAGGGGTCAGCAAACTTTTTCATCCACTGTCCCTCAGACCTTGTGAAGGGGCTGGACTATATTTTGAAAAATATAAACACCCTGCAAGCTGGTCCCACAGCTGCCTCCGGACCTGGAGGAGGAATGCACTCTGCACGCGCTCAGGAGCACGTCTCGGCGCCGCCCGCTCCCTGGCGTTGTTGATGAGCAGCAGCCACTCTGTCGGCCCGTCCCCATGGAGCTCCCAGGCGGCATGCACCACGCGCTGCGGCTCATTTGAGGCCAGGTCAGCCAGCAGGCCACGCAGGCAGAACGCTGGGCAGGTAGCGGTCAGCTTGCCCTCCAGCTGCTCCAGCGCGGCCGCCGAGTGTGGCACCAGCAGCAGCGCTGAGCTGTGCACCAGGTGTGGGGCCAGCAGGTATGCCAAGTTCCGGGTGAAGTCCTGCAACATGCCCATCACAATGCCCATGGCGGGGCCCAGACCTGCCGTCCGCCCGCTGGCCTCTCTGTCCATGGCCACACTGGGTTTACCTCAGCGCGCGGGCAGCGAGGCTTCGGATTGGCTGCAGGAACTTCATGCAGCCAATCCGAAGCTGCTCCAGCGTTGCCACGTGCCCAGAAGCTGTGCCAGCATCGTGGAAGTCAGTCCTGGCACAGTGAGGCGTCCACAGCGAGCAGGGATTGACCGAGTGGGCGGCAGGGTCTGCAGGCCAGATTTACAAGCCTGGGGGGCCTCATCCGACCCCCGAGCCTTAGTTTGCTGACCCCTGCACTAAGCTATAACTTCATTGAGTGAAAATAAAGTTATTGCTTTCATCTAAAAATGCATCAGCCTTAACTTATTTTCTCTGGGTGAGGGTTAAGCGGCCACAAATCCCCATTCACCTAATTATAATACTTTGCTGCTGGTAAAAAAACATAAATGCTACAACAATCAGTCCATTCAAAATGTCTGCTGTGGGAATACAGGAAGAGATTTGTCTTATAACACACCAAGAATAATGGTTGTGTTGTCCAGCCCCCATGTTAAGTGCCTGTTTTAAACATGGCAGCCTCTTTTCCTTTTCCTTCCTTGGAGGTTTTTAAGCAGAGGTTGGGTGGCCATCTGTCATGGATGCTTTAGCTGAGATTCCTGCATCGCAGGGGGTTGGACTAGATGACCCTCAGGGTCCCTTCGAACTCTACAATTCTATGATTCAGACTGTTGTGAGATGTCCCCCCCCCCCCAGGTGTATTCTACATCATGTCATTGACGCAATAATAGTGCATTAGTCATGGATTTATATTCTGGACGTCATTCTATGTCACTAGCTGTTCCATGATTCTTCCTCAATGCTACCACATCAATGCCATCTGGCATCTTGTGTTGTATCACAACAAAACCAAGGCAAAAGAATTCTGGAACATTTGTGCTATGAAAAGTTGTGGAATTTCCGCAGGAAGCTACAGGACAGGCTGTTGGAAAACATGCTCCCTCGGGAGAGGCTGGCCCTCCTCTTCAGGTTCCCGGGGCTTGTTTACCGGTGATCTACCCTGGCTGGCATCCCCGCAAGTCCAGGGAGATCTTGATAGGCGACATCCCCCAGCGTGGAAGATGCACACCCCCTTCCCTTCTCCACGCGGATACCAGCAGGAGAAAGAAGATAGCCAGAGAGTCTACATCTCTACGGTTTATTTCTGACTTTACAGCTGTACAAAATCATGTCCATTCAGTTCAGTCTCCACCAAGCAACTCAGTAAGACTTCCTTCACATGCGCAACAGGAAGGTCTCATATTACACACAGAACAAATCCCTGTGAACCGTTCTGATAAGAACTGCCTGGTACATTCTTTCCCAGGACTAGTCACATCATGTGATGTCAACATCAAGCTACTGGTTTGCAGCTGCGTTGCACTCATATCCCAACACAGGCACCAAAATCTCTGTCCTGAAACGTTTGCAGCTGTAGGTAATATTGAAAGCAGGATCATCTTTAACCTTTCCCTGTAGCATCAGGAGCACAAAAAACCAAGCATACAGAATAGAAAGGATGCCTGAAGTGGCTCTGAACCTTACTTGCATCAGAGTAGACATACAGAGGATTATTTCACTTACATATCCCCCTCCCTGTACCTTTTGCAGCTGGAATGGATTTTGGGTGATGTTTTAAGATGTATATGTCATACACACTTGAATGTCTTCAATGGATTTTTAATGTAATCTTTCTATATGGTTATGCTTCAGCTGTGCTTCTGACTCTATAAAATGTGGTGACTAATCTATCTGGAAGGGAAAGATGGGGTTTGTGAAATAGGTTTGCATTTTTATTTGCAGCATTTTCTTTATTCCAGAATAACATTAGTAGAGCGAGTTGGAATTGCGTGAGGCGTTGGTCTCAAATGAACCAGCAGCTGGATAAATAAAATCTATGTGTCACTGCGTCACAGTTCTGGTGACGCTGATAAAGAACTGACAAATGTCTTACAGATCCTTGAGGCCATCGTCTTTCACCAGCTAGTTTGCTCAACTGCATTTTGAAGAGATCATATAAAGTAAATTGTTTTTTCCCCCCTTGTGGCTTGCTGAAAGAGAGAAAAGCTCTGGTACTTTCAGCCGGCTATCATAGAATCATAGAGTTTTGGAGAGACATGCTTGGATTCCATACTTTGGGTAACCCTTGTGTCCAATAATTTGACTCAAACTTTTCAGGCCAATTCTAGTCCGTGAAAGCAAAACCATATCATCTGCATATAGAAGGATGGGAATGCTTGATGCGTTGAGTTTTGGGCTGTGGGCAGCCACCTGTTTTAGTAAAGAAGAGAGGTCGTTAAGAAAAAGAAAAAGATCAACTCTGCATCCCCAAATGGAAACCAGAGTTAGAGGTCATACATTTTCTCTTATTGGGGAATAATCAGGAGCTCACCAAGTTAGTGGCTAAGTATCTTTATCTGGTTTTTTGTCGTCAAAACACATTGCAGACGTCTGATCTCCCTGGAGACCTAGAGATGTAATGTTAGACTGCTCTGCCTCTTTCATTTGACAAATGTTTTGTGTCACTGGGAAGGTGGTAATTCTGTATTGATTTGCTATGGATGTTTGTATGTGGTGCCAATAAAAGGTTTGATGATGATGATTTGACTCAAATCAAAGAACATAAGAAGAATATGGGACAGCTGCATATTCCTGCATTGCAGGGGTTTGGATTGGATGATCTTCACGGTCCCATCCAGCTCTACAGTTCTATGACTCTATGACTCTCTAACACTGCTGGATCAGACCAGTGCCCCCTTTTCTCCAACATCATGTTCTTACAGCAGCCAAACTGATGCTCATGAGAAGCCTACAAGCAAAATCTTAATGCAACAACACTGCACTCTGGAACATGTGCAGATGACCAAAGGTTTGGAAACCAAGCCTTATGAGGATCAGTTGAGGGAGCTGGATATGTTTAGCCTGGATAAGGGGAGACAAAGAGGAGATCCTAGACAGCATCTTAAAAAGCAGAGACATCACCTTGCTGACAAAGGTCTGTATAGTTAAAGCTATGGTTTTCCCAGTAGTGATGTATGGAAGTGAGAGTTGGACCATAAAGAAGGCTGATCGCCGAAGAATTGATGCTTTTGAATTATGGTGCTGGAGGAGACTCTTGAGAGTCCCATGGACTGCAAGATTAAACGTATCCATTCTTAAGGAATTCAGCCCTGAGTGCTCACTGGAAGGACAGATCGTGAAGATGAGGCTCCCTGGAAAAGACCCTGGTGTTGGGAAAAATTGAGGGCACAAGGAGAAAGGGACGACAGAGGACGACAGAGGACAAGATGGTTGGACAGTGTTCTTGAAGCTACTAACATGGGTTTGACCAAAGAGTGGGAGGCAGTGGAAGACAGAAGTGCCTGGCATGCTCTGGTCCATGGGGTCATGAAGAGTCGGATACGACTAAATGAATAAATAATAACAAAGAGGAGATATGATAGCCATCTTCAAATATCTGAAGGGCTGTCACATGGAAGATGGCACAAGTTTGCTTTCTCCTGCTCTGAAGGGTAGAAAGGTTGGAATCGAACAGAGGAGGTTGCTGAACTAGTTGGACAAGTTTTGTTGTCATTGGTTTTATTTACACATACAGTGGTACCTCAGGTTACAGATGCTTCAGGTTACAGACTCCGCTAACCCAGAAATAGTACCTTGGGTTAAGAACTTTGCTTCAGGATGAGAACAGAAATTGTGCGGCGGAGCGGCAGCAGCAGCAGGAGGCTCCATTAGTTAAAGTGTTACCTCAGGTTAAGAACAGTTTCAGGTTAAGAACGGACCTCCAGAACGAATTAAGTTCTTAACCCGAGGTACCACTGTATATGCAACCTAAGCATGTGATGGAGGGGCCCATAGCATGAACTGTTGATTTAAAGCAGAGTGTCGTGGCCAGCGGAAGGATGAGTAATACGTGCTGCATACTCTATATTGCTTTATTTACAGTTCAAAGCTGGTATATTACAGAAAGACATCTTGCCTCTGCCGGAGCAGACAATGCATCCTCTCTCCTCGACAGCTCGGAGAGAATCACACAGTGAAAAACAGGAAACCAGTGTACGTCACATCCAGTCTCCCTTTCCCGTGAGAAACTCCAACAGTACAGACTGTGGAATGTAAACACCTGTCTCGTGACAAGCAGAGCTGCACAGTGAAGGAAAGCAGAAACCAACATCCTCCCCTTTCTGTGAACATCACTGGGCAGCGTGTTTGCACAATATCAGTACAAACCCAACTTCTGCACATAGGTACAGTGTTGATCCCTTGATACAATCTTGGACAATACATCAGCAGGAATTTCATTACCTGGCATATAGGACACCGTTACGAGTCCCTTCTGAATACATTCCTTAGCATGCTGCAACTTTAATTGTAAGTGCTTTGTGCTTTGCTTACAACCTTCAGACTTCAGCAAAGCCAAACATGCTTTGTTGTCCTGGTAAACCTGGATTGGACATTTGACAGGAATTTTCATATCTTTGCACAATTGTACTAACCATTCACAATCCTTAAGTGAATAAGACAGTGCATTGAGTTCGGCTTCACAAGTACTTAAGCTAACTGTTGTTTGCTTCTTGCATGACCAATCAAACAGACTCTGATTGTACATGTAGCAAACTCCAGACGTACCTTTCCTGTCTGTAGCGTCACTTCCAAAACTTGCATCTGCAAATATCTCAAGACCACCAGACTTCTGATTGTTAAATCTCAGTCTGTAATGCATAGTGCCTTTCAAATACCGCGCTATGCGTTTCAGAGCTTTCCAATCCTTGACACTAGGATTGTTGACTTGTCTGCTTAGCAAATTACAGCTAACAGCAATGTCTGGTCTTGAACATCTGGCAATGAAGTTTAGCTTGCCTAGCACACTCCTGTACAGTGTAGTGTCAGAAAATGCTTCTTCAGTGTCATCTACCTGATAACCTGTTGTCATCGGTGTGTCTACAGGGTTAGCATCCAT